CATTTGAACCAAATTTAGATCTCGTCTAATTGCACCGCAAGGGTAGTCGCACTGCAATTACATGCAAGAAGTTGCACCCATTCATCCCAGCTCTGAATGTAACTGTTTCATGTATAACCAAGTTCCATTTCCAGTTTCACTCTGCACATGCTTCAGCATCCTTCACTCTTGAAAGATAGCTCAATCATTTTTTTCAAAAGGAAATGGGTAAGTATACACCATAAGAAAGCAAAATAGCATTAACATGCATTTACTGAAAGAAAATTCTTTTCTCCCCTGATTTCCATGCATATCTCCCACTCATGTTAAGAGGAATTATACACATTATGAATGGAAATCTAATACCCTGAGACTAACTGATGCTGTGGCTGGTCAGGCCAGGAATTGTAGTTCTGCAGTTTGTGAATCATAACAAGTATGAGAGAACTTAACATTGTTATTATTGTCATAAGATTGATAATATTGGCATACATATGGCAACTAAATAGGTTAATGTCCCTAACGATAAAAATCTGTGAAATCTGTATGACTGTATTTCTTCAATTTGTGGATGTTAATGAGAAATGACAAAAAAAAATTAAAAAATAAGTATCAGAGAACTGAAAATGTGAATATGTAGCAGATTGCCTGCAGGTTACTCTGAGGCCCAGCCCCTCCATTTAAAATTTGTCTAAAGAAAGGATGAAAAATCAGAACTCTACTCCTTTTGCTTGCCTCAAGCAGTTACCAAACAATAATCTAGTACTTGCTGTCTAAAACCCTTTGGCTTACACTAGTACATAAAACAGGACCGCAAGAAAAAGCTTCTTATTTGAGAGGCAATTGCTACTAAATGGTTCCCACAAAGTTACAGTGCAACTATTTGACAAAGTTACAATGCAGCTATTTGAATAACCTGTTCACCAAACACATTTTAATTGCATTATCAAAGGGCTCAACACTATGGTGATGGGTCAGGCCCCATTTAAAACATCAGATGGACCAGATCCCATTACATACCATAAGTCTGAAGCCATTGCAACAGTAAGTGTGATTGATACTGCTGTTGCAGACCTACATCCTACTGGCCAATCAGAATAGAAAGCAGATGCACATATCACACTAGAACGAACTAATCCTCAGAATAAAACCTGCTCAAATGTTTTCACCACATGCTGAGCCAAACAGCCTCAAATAAGTCTTGGACAGTTCTCAGCTGTTCTTTTCAGAACAAATTTGCTTTTAACTTCAAGAAAAAATATAAAGAACAGCCAGATTCTCATTTATATTAAAGATTCACACCTGTAACAACACAAAGGGGCCCTAAAGCTGATGTAAATGATTTATATTTACAGGGAGCTGTACCTTTAAGAGGCTCTCAGAAGCATTGGTTGGAGCCAGCTGCTGTGTTCATGTTGCATAGTGCTGAAGAGTTAGACTGTGGGTGTGGGTAGAAGTGATTTTTGAAACATTTCCAAATGGGCTTGGAAATGTTTCAGCAGGGTTTTGTTTCAGCTGTGACACACATCCAGTCCCTGTGGCATCCTCTTCCCTGGAGCATTTCAGAATTGCTGCAGCTGCATGTGGCCACAGCTCCTCAGCCAGAAGGCATTAGTTCCCCTCTCCCCTATTCCCCCACCATGGAGAGAGAGCAGGGAGCACTGGAGTGGAGAAATAAGCAGGGGTCTAGAAAGAAGCTTCCCCACTGCTGAAATCCCAGCATTCCAGCTCCAAATATCCTGTCTGGAACAGACTCCCAGCAGGGATGCTTTAGGCACCTACCCTATAGATCTTCAAAAGGAAACTGGATGCACACCTTGCTGGGGTTATTTGACCCCAGCAGTCTTTCCTGCCCAGAGCAGGGGGCTGAACCCAATGACCTCATGAGGCCCCTTCCAGCCATGAACTTCTGTGAATCTCCTCTCCTTCCTCTCAGCCCTGAAGAGGTAATTGGGACTGGGTCTGGAGAGCCCAGCTCCAGCAGTGGCAGAGAAGGGCGGGGGAGGAGTCAGAAACTGCCAGGGCTCTGGCAGGGAGGGCTGCACCAGCTGCAGCGGGACCCAGCAGCTAGACAGCTAGCAGGCTGCCAGCCTCCTCTGTAGGGGCAGGGTGGGGAGGAGAGAGCAGAGCACGGTGGGGTCCTGGAAGACCTATGCTCCCGTCTCTTTGCACAGGTTTTAAAAAAATGAAACACCTCAAAACAGTACTATTTTGAAGTGCTTCAAAGACATGTACATTTGTACAGCTTACCCTTTGAAACGTTTCAATTGTTACTTCTTTCTGCGCCCAATGAATGAAACAGACTCATGCCAGACTTCTTGGCCCTGAGTGATTACTGAACAGCATTCAGCATGAGGGTCCTTGAGATGCATGAGATTCAGGCCTTACATAGTTAAGAATCACACTTTAGTTGATGGAGTCACCCCAAATATTGTAAAAAAAGGAATGCCTCTGGCTGCAAAAGATGGTGCTCTGATGGGTTCATCAACGACAAACAACCATCCTTTTTCTAACACCAAACTTATTTTTTCACCATTACCAGAATGGAAGAACTACTGAGGCCTCATCAGACTTTTTCTTTTAAAGAAAAAAATGTCAAAATAACTTTCAAAGGGTTTTGTCATCCAGGCTTGCTTTACATAACATTCTGGCCTTTGAAATAATGAAGAAATATTTAACTGTGCAACACTTGTGTCCTCTCCTCATCAGCTAACCCAGCTTAGAATTGCCTAATGTATATTTCATTTTCCATTGGAAAAATTAAACTACCACAACATTTTGTGTCTGCATGATATTTTTGTTGAAGGAAAGCATTTTATTACAGTAATTCCTAGTTATTTTTCAAGAGTAAAACAGGCCAACATTTTAACATCAACACGTGTTAGAGAAGAAAAAAAGATTATTTACAAGTAAACTTTACTGCATGCATGCACCAGAAATTCTTAGCCTGGCACAAGCTTTGTCAATACATGCCTGCGCTTGAAAAGTAAATATTTTCCCTTGGTTTTGGACTGGATCACATACTCACTTCAAATTTCCTGACTTCTTTTTTTACCATGACTATTAACCAATACATACAGAGAAATAATATACGAGAAATTACATGTGTTGTTTAGGGGGAGCAATGATTAAAAATCCAAAAAGATCCAAGAACAAATTAATAAGCTGAAATAAATATTTAAAGATGTGCATGTCCTACTATTTTAACTAAGTTCCTGACTTCTTGAAATTAAGTGGGACTTTATAACACCAGAACTAAAATATTCTGGGTTTTTTTAAGATTTACGATTAATCACCTCACAAAAAAGTTTTTGTAATATGTTATAGTATGGTTAAACAAAAGCCAAAGCACAACACATACCTCACAAATCTTTCTGTGAGTAGTTTTACAAAATTATAGATCTCAAACCAGTTGTCTGCTACACTCCCGGATCTGAAAAGAAAACAAAACAGATGAGTATATCTAAAATCAGAAAAATACAACAGTAAAGATCAGCTTCAATCTTCCTATACAATCTAAAGTTTTCAGGGGATATGGGGGGGGGCAGCTCAAGCTCATCACTGTAAGCCATTCCTACATTATTTCAAATAATCTTCAATACGATCCCACAGGTCCTGCAACACCATCTTCCTGTCACAATCTAATGCATGACTTTATACACGTAACGTAGAGCTGCAGAGAGTAAAGCTGTGCACAAGTTTTCCTATGACACTTAGAGTTACAAATTAAAACAGACGCACTCCCCCTTGCAAGCCCCAGGCCTGCATCTTCTCCACTCTACCCTGAAACTCTGCAAGCGCTCTCAGCAGCACACTCCAGACAAACTTTATCTGCAAACAGGAGGACAGGGACTGTACATAAGTAGAGCTGGAGGGGGAGGGGGCTGAACGATTTTCAAGAGACTTCTGCTCTTCTCGCAGTAAACACTGTTACTTGAAATGATTAGCAGGCATTTGTCTATTTCAAACAATTTTTTTTTTTTTGGCGGGACAAGGCTAAAATCCTCTTGCTCAGTTCCTTTGGCTTTGACAGCATCAGAACATTTCATTTTCATGAGTTAGAAAAACAACCCCAGCCTTTACCATGATGTGAAACAAAACAAACTAAAACAGCACCGGTTAAGTACAAAGATTATATTTAAAAAGCTAGGCCAGGGCAGGAAGTTTGCTCGGCATCAACACAAAACAGTTTCTAACTCATCAGAATGAAAGGTTTGGAGGTCTGCAACAGGAGGGCTTGGGGGACTGGGAGTGGGGGAGGGTTCTGCTCCCTGAGAAATATCGAGTCCGAGTTCCTATTCAAAACCAATCTGGAAGCATCAAAATCTTGGGCAGAACCAAAAGTATCCAGCACCTCCCTCCCCTTCTTTCCCCCCCGATGTGCTCCAGGCAGAATCTTCCTCCTCTTTCATCCAGAGCCGAGCCAGCTCTTGGCAAAAAGGATTCTGTTTTGAACTGCAGGGCCACATGGCAGAAATCTCCACCCAAGCCAAAGGCAGAGAGCAGGCACTGGAGGACACAAGGCACCAGGGAAGGAACCTGCCACCACACACCAGCCCCGCTAGAGTAAGGGCGGGAGAAGCTACCACATAACCCTGCTGCCTCTCCAGTTGCTCCCCTGACCCACTGACACACTGACCCGGTGGGGAGTCACCTCCGCGCACCCAGGTGCCTCCCCAGAGCCCTGAAGCCCAGCTACCCCCTGCAGCATCCCGCCCACCGCCCGGGGAACCCCATGCAGGCACTCCACCCCCTTCTCCC